GGACTTGCCGAACCAAGAGCAGCAGAGGGAACCACCGACAGGATGTTTCTGCTCTGCAGGGTAAAAGAACTTGAATTGCCTCGCGACTTCCATGTGCTAGAAGCCCATGCCTGTGACAATTGTAAATTGCTCACTCAGGTAGACATTTCGAACAAGCATTGCTGAAATTCGAGAGTTTGTTGTGTATTGTGTCAGGCTACGAGATGTACGCCCACCATACACGGCACACACAATCCACGTGAAGGCCTCCATGAACTGTACGGCATTGAAAGGGCTTGCCATTCCACCCTCGCAGCACTGTCGCCAGCAGAGCGTTCCTCGATTGCACCTTGTTTAGAAGCCTCACGAAGCTACCAGGACAGAGAACCACATGGCGGGCGACGTATGCTGAAGAAAATGCCTTCGCGCTCGGCCCAGCTATGCGGTGGCCGCAGTGGCTGCACATGATTCCAGATCTGGGCTATGTGCCGTTGGCTTGGCCCACCGACATGAGGGGTCATTAGCGAGCCTCAGCTCCTGGCCCGTGTTTGGCACGCGTCGGTTGAGCAGTAGACGATTGGCACAGGTGAGAACCTTAGCTTGCCTGGCGTGAGTCTGCACTCAGCCAATCTTGTGCAAAGAGGACAGTACCATGCTAGGTTTTTCAACGTTTCACCAAGTTTCACAGGACCATGCATGAAGGAGGATGGCGACCCACGAATGACAGTTCTATCCATCCTATTTTGCGCACTCGCACGCCTTCCACGCTCCTGTTGCCACCATTGTTAAGGAGCCTGCTGGACGTGTGTGCGTTCCCTCCCTCTGCTGAGAGAGGTCTGTAGGGTGCCTTTCTGCAGCATTCGCTTGCAATGTCCAACACTGCAACTGCCCACTGCCGGCCACAGTCGCCTCAGTTTGTGCAACCATACAATCCTGGCCGTGGCTCACGGACTTGCACTGCTTATCCATGCGTGTTTCTGGTCATTTTGGTGACAACGGTGAGGTTGTGAAAGCACTCGGAGCTACCTTGGCTCTCGAACAAGAACAATTGCCATGCCTTGCGACACTGTGTCCAGTGCGACGAAGCCTCATTTGAAGTAAGGTACTTCGGCTGCAAAGCAGAAAACCTCAGGAAACCTCGGGAAACCTCATCGCACACCCTCGCACGAAGGGTGCAACAGACCTCTACTGATTTCGAAAGCGGTGCGCCAATCTCATAGATTCTTTCGAAAAAAAAGGACAACGCCAAGATCGTGAAGTACTGAGTGTAAAGCATGAATTCATTGCCCCTCCGTCTCACCGTGTTTCACTCTTCTCCACTGGCTGACGCATCCTACCTGAGGTACGAACCTTGCTCCTTTTTGGGTGGGTTGGGTTTGTTGGTTTGGTTTTGTTTGTTCTGTTTCCGGTTTTGCTGCTTGGTTCGTATCTCTCTCTTTTATCTTACTAGCCTAAGGTGACTTGTGCATCCTCTGCACACATAGCGCCTCGACCCGTGCAAAAAATCTGGAAACAATCCTGGACAACCAGGTGGAAATGAGTATTACCCCAAAGGACGTCTTGGATTGGGTCACACAATGCGTGGTGAGTGTCCAGCAGGGTAAGCTCGCACCCGAACGTATCCAACTGACTGACTGCCGCAGGTGTTCCACTAGGCAACAGCATGTCCCATCTGTGGTGTATGCTCACAGGCACTACAATTTGTGTGACTGTCCCAGCCATGGTGGTGAGAAGGAGGGTGCAAGGGCAAATGCCAGCAAACTCGTCGTCCTTACTGCACAACAGTGGCGCAGTGCCGTCCATATGGATGACAGCGGGACGATTGGACCGCAACAGGTGATCAGCATCCGGCCGTCAGAGATAGCTGGCTTGAGCCAACTGCAGTGGAGAACGATTAAATCTCCCACAATTTGCAGTATGCCGATAAGAACAGCAGATGACTGGCAAATTTCGAGAATTCAAGGCCCGATTAGTTAGTTGAACATTCTTTCAAGTTTCACTTGTTTCACTTTTGAGTACAGCGCGAAACTTTGCTGCTTGGTTTGGGGGTTGTTGTTTTTGGTTCTGTTTTGGGGGTTTGTTTTCGAATCTGACACGATTCATTCTTTCCTGTTGTGTGATTTTGAATTTTGGTTCTTTGCTTGTGCTAGAGAGCTTCATTTTGGGGCCAAAAACCCAGCAAAGCCGGAATCGAAGCTTGCAATGTTTTTGCCCGGCAGCAAAATGTTGTCGACAAAGCGGTCCGTTTTGGAGTCCAGAAACGGACTCCAAAATAAGAATTCAGTCGCCCGGACACAAGCAAACCAAATGGAGACTCAACGAATGGCCTTTATTTTGGGGTCCCGGGGTCCGTGGCAGGAAACCTTGTTTCGTTTTTTTTGACGTTATTGTTTGATGCATGTTGTGAAAGATGGGGTCTTGAAAAGATATTGTTGAGGTTTTTGCGTTCACGTCCTTGGTGTTTGTTGCAAGCTGCGCCAGGCTGCCGCCCGGAGCCCGGTTCCATCTTAAAGCACCAAGGTTCAAATTTTCACTTGGAACGCACTGTATGAGGTGCTACAATCAAGCTCTGGGTTATATAGAGCGTCCATTGCAGTGCGCGGACCGTCTCGGTGCCACTTCAGCACGGCACGACGAACCAACAGCACCGCAAGCTTCAAGGGGCTTTTTGCGCGACACAGAAGCCAATGCAAGGTGCTTTACAGTGTACATCTGTGCGTGTCTAACTTCTTCATTGAAGGTGAGCCGGAAACAAACGTGGTTTGTCCGAAAACGACGTTCAAAGGATTTCCGCAAGGCGAACGAACCTTTGGTGGATTCCATTGGACCCAAAAAGTCACCCTCGCACTCCAACCCATCAATTCAAACTGAGATCACTGAGATCTCTTCCGTGCACCACTCTAGCACCCAACAGGAGGTTATGAACCCCAAAAGCAAAGGAGGAAACACAGTTTGTGTTTGCCCCCATCAAAGACAAAAGAAACCAACGCACAACCTCCCAGGTATGCAATGTGAGTGCGCGCACACCTTCAAAAGTTCTTCAATGGCATCATCCGCATGATAAATCCGCGACATGCATTTGGAAAGTGCCCGGAACCAGCCTTGCCCTTGAAACCAATGCACTGGAAAAATCCAGCCAAGTCGACTGCCTCGCTCTTTGGGCACCCACTGACTGGCAAAGCGGCCCTAAGACCAGGAGAGGTGCTTCTTGAGCATCTTGTCTGTCTCAAACAAATTTGCAAGCCCACTCTTGTCTCGATTTCAGAAACATGTTTCCCAACAATTTCATGCTTTCACTGTCTGAAAACAAGACGCCCGATCATCTCTTTCATGTGGTTTTCCCAAAGTGCACAGAAGTCATCCAAGATACTTTCCGACTGCAACCATCTCTTGCCACTGCTTGCAGAGCATGCAGTTCTGCTTCGGTGCGGCCATCTCTGCCGTAACATCTGATCTTGCCTGAGAACAGTAAATCGGCCAACGTTCGGGGATAAGTCCAACTCCACCTTCAGATGCGTTGCAGAACCTTTCTGTTTTTTTCTGTTTCTTGAAGTCGCCTTGCAGGTCATAGGTCCGAAAATGTTTTTGCGACAACCAAAAGTCTTCCAAAACACTTCAAAGAAACAAGATGATCCACACACGCATGATCTCAGCAATGCGTTTCTGGCTGCCACCGGTCGAATGTTCTGGTCTTGAAAGAAGAGAAACTGGACAATTTTTTGAAACGGAACATGGCTTTCATACACGGAGTCGAATCAAGACCCATCCAATGTTTTGCAGCTTCATCGTCAGTTTTTTCACATCGGCGGATTGTTGCGGCTTTTGAAACCAATTCGCTTTCCAACGGAAACAAATTGGAGGGCCACCTTGCTTGTTTGTTGCTTTGTTCAGTTGTTGTTTGGTCATGTTCCACAGGAAACTGGTGGTGTTTGCCGAAAATGGCATCTTCAAGCTTCTGGTGTTTGGAACTCAACCTGGCAAAACTGTCAAAATCACAAGGCAAACATTTCTCTTCACTTGAAGCAGATTGAGAAACGAGTTGCATTTTGGGAATCGTTTTTTTGTTCATGTGATGTGCCCATTGTTTCAAGTTTTACATGTCCACAACAATTTGTCAGCTTGTTGTCCACAACCGTGTCCACACAGTCTTCAACGTGTGTGGACGTTGGTGTGTGCAGTTAATTAAATTCACTGCACACAAACCCACATGGTGTATGTTCCTGATGTGCCCCTCAAACAACCATTGTCAGACGTAGCTGCAATGGGACATTTTGAGTTTATGTGGCGCTAAACTGGTGAATTCCAAAAAAGTGATCTTTTTCTGCTGCCAAACATCAATGTTCGTGATGTTTATCCAACAAATCCTTTTTGGTGAGTGGATGAGTGCAGTACCTACAGCTGTGTTTGGGATTGTTGTCATCATTCATTTGGTGACTAAGTAGCCTTGATGATTGCGTAGCGACATTTTTTAGTATCATCATAAGCCTGCAGCAAGTCAATCTGATATTTAGCATTCTTCACCTTTGTAGTTCTGTGCTTGATTACCTTGTCATCATTTAGTGTCACTGTTTCTTGTTGGACAATTTAGGCGAATAGTTGTAGTGGAACATCGTGTCTGGAGGATTTTTAGTAACTTTATACTAAAATGTTTGAACACAGTATTTGAATTATTTGTTATTGTTATTTTTGATGTTGATATATGATATATGTTTGTTTAGTTCAACCCATTTAGGTAGTTCAATATGATTACCTGTTCTTGTTGGGTCATATTCAAATTCATCAAAGTGGATTGTTATAGAAATATAATTTTTCAATTCCAAATTTGATATTTTACATTCCATATCTTGAATTTTAAACATTACTGTAGTTGTTTGACACTGTCCTAAAGGGCTTCACTCAAATCACCCTCATTGATTATGTTGTTCCTCATATATATATATATATATAGTTGGTTTATGATAACAAAAGTGCACGCTCACAGCGTCCGTCTCTCATTTTTTTCCGTTGGTTGTTCGGGTTTGAGTCGAAGGCATTTGGGCCAAGTTCCAGCAATGAAGCTGCTGAGCTGAATTCGTTCATCTCGGTGTGATGGCAGTTGATGACGAGGATCAATATGACAAAACCACTATGCTTGTGCATTGTGGAATTGTGGTCTCTGTTGTAGCCATCCTGGTGGTGCCGATGTGCCTGTACATTGCAGGGCCGGCAAACTTTCTCATACAACTGCTGAAGTGGTTGCCAGACAATCCGGGGTGGGGCTGGTTTCTTGGTTGGGCATTGTTACTCTTCGTGCTGAGTATGCTGGGCTTGCCTTTTTGGCCACCTGCTTGTGCTCTGTCTGGGCTGATGTTTGGCGAGAGGCTAAGTTGATGGAGCGCAAGTCACGGCCTTATGATGGGAGGTTGACAGTTCACATAGGACCAATCCGCAAGTGAATTATGATCCCCAATCAGTTTACTAGATTCAGATCTATGATTCAAGATTCTCAGTAAGACACCATCTCCTTACTTGATCACTTTTTGGCACGCTTATGTCCCAAAGAAGACTGCTGCCTAAGGCTTGAATCAAGGAACTTTGCTCAATTTTTTGGTGCTTTATGCAACAACGATTGGCAGTACACTCCTTGCAAAGACTTTGCGGCTCAGCAGAAGAACTAGTATGATGCTCTTTAGTATGACTAGTTTTCTTTGAAGGTCGAATTTCTGATAAATATATATATATATAGTATAATATATATAATATATATAATATATATATATATCTATGAATAGCGAGAAGCCTCGAGTTGTGGGAGGGGTAATCATTTGGATCCAGTGGCAAGGTTGCAAGAGCCTGTTCGTCGCTGGCTCGACAGCGGACATTTTCCTGCAGCCCAACAAGCCTTCAAGTGCCTTGAAGAAGCGGACGACTCCCTGCAATTTCTGGTTCTATTTCGTTTTTTGATCATTCCGATTTGGATGAAGAACTATGCACCAGCCACTCTACGAATCCCTGTTTGGAAGATTTTGGCAGCTGCCTTTCCCCACACGATATGGATATCCTTTCTATACTCTGCGCTGGGTGCATCGTTGCAAGATGCAGAGGACTTGCTGACTCATGGCTCCGAGTTCAAGCTGTCAGATTTAAAGTGGCAACACACTCTCTTGTTCATCAGTGCCGCTGTTGCATCTCTTTTGATTTCTCTGTACTCCTATCGCAAGTACAGTGAAGCTACAAGTGAGGAAAGAACTCACTTGCTTCGCAAAGAGCCGTGAAGTGCTAGGAGGTCTGACAACAAAGTGGGTTGACTTGAAGAAGGAGCTTGGGTGATGGTGAATATTGTTGTGTTGTGCAGGAAGATCACACAGTGTGTTGTAAGAAAGAGTGATTGTCAAGCTAGCCAAAGAACATCGAGAAACATGCCAGACAAGGCTCTGAAGAGTAGAACATGCTCATATCAGTTGTGGCTTTTGTAGTGGGGCAATGCTAATGAAGAAGTCTTGTAGACCCGGTGTTCTAGATTCTAGATCCATTGCAAATCTACCTGTGCTCCAGACAGAGAGTTGATCGTTTTAACTACTCGAGCACAGACACTGCAGACAGCTGATCAAAAAGGAAGGCTTGATATCTTGGACTTGGTTCTTCTGTTAGCAGATTCCTGTGAAGGTCTGCCTTTCTTGGGATATTTTACACGTTCGAGAGGTTCTGGCAAGTTAGTTTGACAATTTGACCAGCATTTGTTGCAATCCTGCAAATTGCAAGAGCCAAAAGAAATCTGGCGTGGACATAAACATTCACGCCGTTTATGGGTCTTCTATGCTCCTGCGGGTAGCCCAGGGTTTCACGGGCTCTTACCCACACATGCATCAACATCACTCTGACCCGAATTGCTAGGCTTTGATCAAACAAACATCAAGCCCGATGTTCTTCAAGTTGTTGTTCTTGTAGGAACAAGATCCAGACGTCCCTGCAGATCTATTCACATGATATGTGACATACTCTCGTCGCAGCAGTTTACACATCAGCAAAAGGCAAAATCATGTTGTGTATGTTTGCACACCTGTGCCTTCATCAAGTTAGGCCTTACCCCTTTCTTTCGCTCCCATGTGGCATTTTAGTGTTGTTTTGGAATTCCAGCATCTCAAACTCAAGCAGACAGCTGTATGTTATCAAGCATTTTAGCGACATTCCATGCTTTTCGTTGAACTCGCGGAATGTCAGGAACTCAACAGCGTCTCACTAGGCATAATGCTTGCAACAAAACACAAGACCTGAATTCAACAGGAATAGTGCTATCAATGCTATCCAATCATATTTCGTCATGAGTCATGAGGCTCAATGCTCTGCTTCAAGGCCTTACTGTGACAATCCATTGAGACGGAAGGTGCTTGCTTGGAAGTTAAGTAGTGAACTGAAGATCTTGCTTTCTATGCCATAGATGCTGCAACAGCATGACTTTCCTCTTACTTGCACTTTTGCTTCGTGGGATTTCTTGAGGCAGGTCCGACTCCAAGCAGACTTGCAGGCAGCTGCAGCCTTCCAAATGGCTTCCAATGGCAATGGAGTCAAGTTGTGGGAGTGCAGGACACTGGATGTGGAAATGGATAGCTCTCAACTGCAGGCCTTGCTGTGCTTGAGCATCAAAGTTTTGTTGAGACCCAGATTTTGGGGTGTCCCCTTCCCCTTTTCACTTCTTTCATCTCTCAAGTTGATCTCGCAACAACCTCTTGGGATGCTGGTGAGGTGCAATCAGACCAGTGTAATCACACCAGTCAAAAGTGGCAGGGCAGGCGACCGCGGACTGCGTGCCACGTACTTGGCAGGTGAGGTGTCGTCATGGAGTTCGCTTCAAGGCTCGAATGAGACAGTTCAGGGGCCTCAAGGGGCCTTGCAGTTCAGACGGAAGTTGTGGCCCTCAGGTGATTGATCCCAACGTGGTTGAACGTCTGCCTTTTGTGTCTACACATCCAGCAGCGCAGGCCAGAAGTTGTACACTTTGCACAGCATGCACCTGTGGCACAGCCTTTCCAGAACTGGCTAAGCAATTTCATATCCTGGCGCATTTTGAAAGAAGCTAAATTGATGGAGGTGATGCGCCAGCTGCTTTTGGCCATAGGCTTGACGTAGAATAAGAGGGCATTGGCAGTCGAAGGGTGGCGCCCACCCAAACAAACTTGCTACCGCATAGAGTCAATTCAAAAGGGATCAAAGGTGGAAACGAGTTGTCTCTATTTAATCTATATAATTTTCCCTGGCTAAACTAAACCTTAGAAGTGGAGCCAAAAGAGCCTGCACAGTCGCCTTGTTTATCCAGCTTCATTTCTCTGGCAGGCGTTGGGAGCCCTACCCTTCTTAGCGGGCCTTCTGCTGGCAAGACGACCTTCATCAGAAGAGCTGCAGATGGCTCAGCCTGACGTCGCTGCGCTCAACAAGATGCATCTACCACCGGACTGATCTACAGCAGAAAAGCCGATTTCTTCTCCTCGGAACCGAGGCATCTCACTTCTTCATTTTTGGAACGCGATTTGAACAAATAAATTTACTCACTGTGGCATCTGTGGCTTTGAAAGAAGGATTTGGGAGAAAACGACTGCAGACATACTCAGACGCTGGCCAATCGGTGTGGATATGACCATCATGCAACACAATTTTTTTGACTTTGCATGTGCCTAAGGCTGAGTTGATGGGTCAGCAAGAGCCTGCCGACCCCTTGGAACGACGCTTCTGCATGTGAGGATAAGTTGAGAAAAATGCATGACGTGGCTTGGCCTTCGCTTCAAGACTTCAGGAAAAGAGAAGAGATCCAGAAAAAACATCTTACGTATAAGCCGAGTTTAGGCGTTGATGATCCAGTTTGTTGGCACCTAGGTCTTCCTGTTCTGTGATGAGCAGTGACCCGGATGAGCATTGCACTTGAGGCTTAGCATCTTGTGACTTGTGCCTAAGGACAGACATTAAGATGTTACTGGGTGCATACGTGTGTGGTGAGACTGCGTGGATCCAAGGAGACTTCTCCCAGACAGTACAATAGACAATGTGGGATTCAATCAATCTACTGTAGATGACCAGAACTTGCTGTATGAGTGCTGGGTGTTGTGTCCGCCACTCTGCTCAACCAGAGGTCGGGGAGTTTGTTTGGCGACCTGGCGTTGTCACTGAAGCTTTGCAACAGGGGAGGCCGTTTTGCGTTGCTTTGGGTTGCAATGTAAAGCACCAGTTTGTATTGGGCAGATGGCTTGTGCTAGAAGATGTGGATAGAGTACCTGCAGAGGCTGGGAGTTGAGAATGAACTTATGGTCAAACAGGTTGGCAGACCTGCAAGGTGCTGGCAGCTCTACTGCCCTTTTCATCATCGAGACGCTTGGTCCAGCGCTTGGCCCTGACAGTGACTCTGCAACAACTTGCCACACAAGAGTGTCCTGAGGTCATTCCTGAAAGGAACCAGTGCATCGATGCGCACAAGGACATTTTTCATTGACGATATTCACATTTCTGCCCCACTGTCTCTATTTCACTCTCTCACTCACTCACTCGCTCGCTCTCTCTCTCTCTCTCTTTCCTGAAAAGAGCATTTTTTGAAAGCAATGCTCACGCTTTCCCGAGCAACGACCTACCAGGACTTCCACCTTTTTGGAACGTTCTCTTCTGGTTCACAGCCTGTGCTGGACACCCAACAAACCAGATGACCGGGGTTGCGATGCCACAGACAACCTGAAAGTGCGACTTCTTTGAGGCTTTGGCAATCCTTCGAGAGCGTCGTGCGGGCGAGTTTCTGGTTGATGCCGAATTCACGGTCCATATCGTGTGAACGCGCCAGGCCGGCGGAACAGAAGGCTCGATGAACGTGCTAGTGCCGTGCCAATACATAGCCTGCCCTGATACACTTCGGGTGCTGAGAAGGGTTCAGCACGTTGGTTTAGATGGCTCCATTCGGTTAAAGCTTTGGCTGATTTGCAGGTCATGTCATTGGATCCCATTTGGCTGGCATTGGTGGCAGGGTTGCGACCCAAGATCTTAGTTGTCCGAGTCTCACGACGTGTCTCACGGTTCCGCGTTTCGCATCGTGGGTCTCAGGTTCCGCCGTTGGTCTCTGCCTGGACTCGGGCCATGATCCCAGCTTCCAGCCACATCAAGTGATGGTGAAGGTTTCTGGCCGCTTCTGTGTTGAGGTCCAGCTTGCCCCGCTACTACAGACTCACTTGGCAGAGTTGGTTGATGGCAGCTCGCTGAAATGGCTACTTGAGATCTTGCAGAGAGACGGCCTATTGCAGACAGCGCGCGGAATGGACAGGTCTTTACCCTGAGTTTACGCCGTTGAATGCTCGATTGCTGGAGTCTGCTGCAGTACTACAGTGGCATGCTCAGAAGATGGCTGGACTCGATGCTTTCATCTTGGAAAGTCTGTTGGTTGACATGATGTCGACACGTTCCACACAGGCAGCAGGCTCATCAAGCTGGACCTGCGTTGGGGTCTGGACCCGCAACGGGTCCGTTCGTGTCCTAGTGATCGCTTGATGTTCTCCGACTGTAAAAATATGTCAACACGAAGAGTTGAATGTCGTGAGGCGTGACATCCTGCGCTGGTGCGCACGTTTGCGCAAGGCGCAATTGGTCTTAAGCAAAGCTCTCAGCTCTCAGTTCGAGAAGCTGGTTCAAGAAGCATGTGATTTCGTCAGTCAAGATCTTAGGATCTTGAGTCTTGACATAGAATTCGCAAGCAGTTTCTCTGCCCAGAACGTCTGAAAAGACGAACCCAAAGCACCAAAATACGGAGACACTTAGCATCCTAGGTCCAACCTTTACGGAGGAGAGCCGTGCAGTCCTCTTACGCGAAGCGCTGCAGGTGTCTCTTGGGTGCCTGTTTGTCTCCAAAGGTCGCAATGGCTTTTCCTAACACACACACACCCTTGCAGTGGCCTGTCTTCTTTTTCGCCGAGATCCGAATGAACAACGGTTAGATTCGAAGCGACCAACGGGGGGCCGATCCGACACAGACCGTCAACGGTGGCCCAGGTGTTGCTGGGCCGAGTGGCAGACCTTCGGCATCGCCGTTCGTTTCTGTCATGTGGGGTCCTCGGTGTTCTTTCTCAGTTTCCAGCCGCTGTTTGGCAGCGAAGCCAATCTTTTCGTTTTTTCGGGGTTCGTTTCGTGAGCCGATTCAAGGTTTGGCACCACTGTGGTCCCTTGGAACTGGTGTAGCAGAAGCCCTTTTACAGGAGAGTTGAACAAAAGCCTGAGAGAGGAACAGACAACAGCTGTGCACTGCAGGAGCGTCCAACTGTGACTCTTCTACCATCAGCAGCAGATGCTCAGCAGGTGGTTTTTTGTTTGGTCGTGCCGGCACTGCCACACAATGCGCGCTTTTCCTAAGGTGCAAATTGGGGAGATAGTGCTTCCTTTGACCAAGGGAGGCGATCCAGAGCCGGCCTCAGCATCAGTGCAAGGCATGAACGGCTTGCTATGGCGAGAGCATTTTCAATGGTGGGTTCTAGATAGATAGATTGGTATGTGTTTACAAAGGAGTTGTTTCAGATATATATATATACATATATACTATACCAATCCAAGTATTTCAGGCAGCGCGCTGCGAGCCCTTTGCCTATACCTCTGTTCATGCTCGTGTATTGCAGGTACCGCGTCTCCGGTTGAACCAAATGTGGCTGTTCTGTGGTGTTTCATTTGTCGCTGACTTGCTGGTCAGAGGGGTTTACCGGATGTTGACTTCAGGCGCTTGCATCAGCGATCCGCAGCGATGAGCCCGCCTTGTTGGTTGGCAAGACTCTTGGTGGTTTCAGGTTTAAAGATCCGTAGTTATTTGCGACGAATTACAAGCGAACCGTGCAAGTTACTTCAGTTGTATGCTTCTGTGTGTTTCCATACTGAAACGAAAAAAGAGCGGTCTCGAGGTGACACAGGAACTGGAAAGACTTCAGTAGTCCAGCACGTTGGACGCTTGCTTGGCAGAGAGGTGCAGTTTGGGGTTGGCAGTTGGGCACTGCCCCAAATGTGAAGCTGTAGATCAGAAGGAGTAGACTCGGGGGAAAGTGAAATGATACTTGGGTCACTTTGCCGTAGACGGAAGGTGTTGGTTTACAACTTCAATGAGCAAAGCGAGAGCACTGAGCTGGTTGGTGGATTTCGGCCTGTCGCTGGCTCCTCAGGGTTCTTCAAGTGACTGGGGTGAGAGAGAGTCACATGATCTCAACTGTTCATGACAGTGATTCAGGACAATGTGATGCAGCTTATGTCGGAGCTAGTTCAAGCCTTGGACATGACAAGGTTTGTCTTTAACTTGCTCTTTTCCTTGTGTGAGTGAACACCTGCTTTTCGTATGTTTTCTCTCCATACCACACCTCACACAGATGCAAAGTAGCTGGGATTCACCAGGTTGAGAGCTTCTGCTTGACCTTTGAGAAGTCTTTCTCTCGCCGAAAGAATGTCTGGGCGACCCGAGAAAGACCGCGGTTCCTCCGCGCCACGTGGAGCGCCGACTCCGCCGGGTTCCGCCGGTTCAGCCGGTTGCCGCGCCTTCGAGGCCAAGCTTTTGGAGAAGCTGCGCAGCGACTTTCTCGATCGCCGTTGGGTGCGGGGCCCACAGGCCGAGGCCGAAATCAGAGGGCGGCGGCCGTGCCGGCCAAGCCAAGACTGGAGCTTTCGAGATTTGACTCAGGCAGCAGTCCTCAATGATGTGGGCAGCATTGTCAGCAAGGCACATCCTGGAAAATGGCAGCATTGTTAGCAAGGCGTTCCCTTATTTTCATGATCATGATGTCACTCAAGGCCAAGCAGACTCTTTGTGATCCCGTCCAGTACTTTGATGTCGGCAGAATCCACCCAACATGGCACCTCCTGTTTCGCGAGTAAATGCGGCCGAGAGAACCTTCGGCCGAGGTCACACAAGCGTCGAAGGGTGTCAAGGGAACCCAGCTGGCTTTTGAGTCGGCACCTCGGTTTCATGGATTGTCCGTCGCGTCACGCCGTGTCACGGCAGCGCGGGGAAGAGGTTCCACTTCGTGTTTTCTTTTCGCTGCCGACCTCCAGGTGGGAGCGAATAGACTCATTACATCAGAAAGCAAGCTCTGTCCAACCCTCAGAAAGGTCCTATGAGTCACATGAGTCACAAGGTCCTGCTCACCAAGCCGGGTGAAGTCGGTGCATTTTTTTGGTCCGGACCATGTAGAGAAGGGACAGGGATTCTTATTCCTATTGGTTACTACTACTACTACAGTACTACTGCTGCTGCTACTACTACTGCTGCTACTACTACTACTATTACTATTTTTTGCTATCAAGGATATTTTGCAGGTTTTGTAAGGGGGACATTCATATCTTCAATTTGTCTGGTTTATCCCAATTTGGTATCAACCCTCGCCGATCCTGCTTGTCCTCTCGGAAGAGCAATACAGAAAGTTGTTTGCAGATCGAAGTCCGGTGTACACCTCCATGATTATAGTGTATTCGCTTCCTGATCTTGTGGTGGACATGTTGCAACATGTTCATTCCTCAAGCCTCTGTGTGACTGTGCTTGTTGCTTGGATTCCCGTGCAGTTTCTAACGAGGGATAGATGAACATGAAGTGCGGATGTGCCCGGTTGCCAGTGGAGAGCAACATGAGTACAACGGTCGCAGCGAGTCAGCGCTTTTAACACCAACAGAAGTTGATGGATGGCTGGGCGAATGAGCTTCTCCCCCTCAGTGGCTGGCCATTTTAGGTTTCTGAGGTCCTGTTGCTGTTGCTGTGGCTGTGCGAACTGGGAGGCAAAAGACCCCAGAGACCTTTTGGCATCGCTGACCAGCAGTGCTTCCTCTCTGCAGATTCGACTCAATTAGCACTAGTAAGCAGGCTCGGACGGATTTGTATGACTTACTGCAGGGTTGCCTGTCGTTTTGAGATGCCGAATGGCTCTCGTATCTCTCATCAGGCAGACCTTGTGATTGGTCGCAGTATCCATGTGGCCTCTTGTATCGGTGGATCTGCTCGCAGTTCAGCTCGCAGTTGCGGCGGATTGAAAGGTTTCCCAGAACGAGGAGAGCTTTGTAGATAAGACAAGTGGACACATTCCTATAACGTCGAAAGTGGCAGCGGTCATAATCACTTTCATCCTTGAAACTATGCTTGATGTACCGACAACCTTTAAATCCACCAGCATTGCCAAACTTTCTCTACTCACCAGCTCAGCATTCTGTTTTGTGACATTTCAGGCTCAGAATGTATTGTGTTTGTAGTCCAATTCCGCAGTTGTGTGCATTGATGTCTCAAGATTGTGGCTGAGTGTTGCCAGGTCACAGCAGCAGGTTCAGCTCCAAAGTTTGAGTTCAAAGAAGGCTTGCTAGTCCAGGCATGACCTAGATAGATAATATGACTGTTGCACAAAAGCTTTTCCCCCAAAGCACTCTTCGACTCTTCAGTCCTTTGCAGGCCTTGCGCTCGGGCGCTTGGGTCGCTAGGAGCTCAGGGAGGAAACCAGCTAGCTTTTGAAGTTGCAAAATGAAATCGTTTTTTGCTGTTTGCAGCAGCGGCTCAGAAGGGTTTCCGGTTTGAAGATCCAAGTTGTCTTTTTCTGCATCGTCAAAGTCTTTGACATTCTTGATCAGAGGTTCTGGACGAAATCAACTTGGCTCCCTCCGACCTTTTGCAGCGAATTCAGGGGCTCATCGAGCGAGCGCAGATGCCTCAGATGCGTTGCCTTTTGCCAATCAGTAGCATAACTGGGTCAAAAGAGGATTGCAACGGGCATTTGTGGGCCTGAGGATTAAGGATATTCAGGTAGGTCTGCTGACTTGAAATGGAGGGTTGGGGGAGAAGCTGGAGTGGCCACAGCAAATGAGCAGTGACTAGTGCTTGAACTCGTTTGTGGCAGTTCCCAGTCCCACCCTCAAAAGATTAGATGCCTCAGGGGAACATATTCAAAGCACTTCCTAAAAGCAACAACACAGGTAAATGCCGGCACTGGCACTTTATCAAAGCTTGGACTGCATCCTGATGGCATGAAGCAGGGTCTGTTGGTCTTGACGAATAACATATAACACATACACACGTAGAAAACAAAATAACGTCGATGCACAGGCACAAAGTTGCAGATCTTCTCATTTGGACTGAGGAACACACCTTCCGACCCTCCTAGCGATGGCCTCCAACCTAAATATGAGGAGTATATTTGGACGATGTGTATTTGGTTGGTCTTGAGGATTGAAAGCAGCTAGTTGCTGCAGACGACAGCCTCATGCTTTCAATAGCCCAAAATCACACATCCCGGCACCCACGAATGCTTACAGCCTTGTTTCATGCGTTGCGCTGGGATAATTTCGAAAGACCTCCAAGACCTCGATGCTCGAAGGACATGTTGCTTACAAAGACCTGGCAGGGACGAAGCCAACAGACCGCCCACAATTCCGCCGTTCCACTGAGCAAACGAAGCTGCCGTTCAATTGGCTCAGTGGAACGGCCACTTCTAGGAGCCGGAGCCGTCAAAGACCTATTGAGACCTATTTTCAGGCCTTGGACTTCACGCGCATCAGACAAGAATCTAACTGCTCAGACAGATGGTCTCAGTTGACCTCAAGACCTTCAGTTCTGTTGGTCTAACATGGTCACCCATGGTCTATCCAAGATGTTCCTTTTCTGCTTGGGACTGAGGCCAGGAGCTCATTTGGCCTTGCCGGAGTCTGGCAACGAGCGAGTGCTGTGGGGGCCGCAATCGGCGCAAGTCTGCTCGTCGATGCAATGGACGCGGGAGGTTCGTCTGCTGCAAGCTGCTCCGGTGGTTTCGGGAGTTCCTTCTTCGTGAGGGGTTTAAGCAGATGAGCGACTCAGATTAAAGCCTCGAGTTCAGAGATTGACAGCAGCCCCTTTTTGGGCTTTGAGGGTGGGTTCGTACAAACACCCGCAGCACAGAAGCCATCATACCATTGGGCAGCAAGAGCCTATTTGGATGGGTGTGGATTCTTCCTGTCAATCTGGTGGAGCAACTGAGGCCGCATGCCGATTTTAGGTTATTCGCTTGCATGAATCCGTACGGAGCCTTGACTTTTGCAAATTCGAGCCTGGCAGTTTCGGGAGACATTATATAAATTCATATAAGTCTATGTATCTTTCATGCTGTTTGTTGCGTTTAGCAGTCTTTTTGAGGCCTCGCTTGTCAACCTGGCCAATTCTTTTCATCCACTCTTGTATCCCAGACGAGCGAGTGTGGAAGGATTTTGGTACGTTTGGCCTCATTCGGCCATGCGGCCAGGCCCCCTCCTCCTGAAGATACGGAGTCTGCGGAGCAGGTCATGGAAGTTCGCGCACCGGTGTGCGCCGCAAGGGGCTGACCGCGCCATGAGGGTCCTTAAGAGTCAAAGGCACCAAAAAGCACGAAAGGCTGGAAAGGAAAGAAGATCATTTGGTCATTTGGTTGGTGTTCGACTGGAGGTTTGCCGAGGCAGATGTAGAAGGGAGGAAATGGAAGAACCATGAAAAACCCAAACCAGTTGGGTCAGGGTCGTCCGGGGTCGTTCGGGGACGTTGGGGGTCGTTCGGGGTTGGTGGCGGGGGTTGGTGTTCACATGTCGCAGGCGCAAAGTGCTCCACCTGGCGCCCGAGCTGGGCAAGCCGCAGGAAAGAAGGTGCAGACAGAGCAGGCAGCTGCTTTTGGGTCGACTTTGCAAATTTCTTACCAGGAGTTGCCTCCTGGAATTCGAGGGCGTTTTACTGAAATCTTTGTTGACGAGGCAGGTGAGTGTATTCCTTGAAGCTGCTTCCAGCAGCTTTGATCAAGTGATCAACACCGCTGCATGTGTTCCAATGTCCTACTCGTAAAGCTGAATTGTGGACCCATGAAACAACACAAATTACCAATTTGTGTGCAATGTGCAGCGACTCATTTGGCTCGAAGCATTTCCAAATCCTTGTTATTTATACATGCATTTTTGATTTCTGTTTGGCGCTCAGTTTGATGAGATGCTCAACCAAGATTGCCTTCACAAGTGGTGGGATAGAACATGATAGGGCGCTCAGATGCAAGTCTTGGTAGTTGTGGTTCAACTTTTCTTTGCTTTCTGAGGATCACCGGACGCGCGTTGAACGGCCACATGGACATGTCGGAGCCTTGATGGGGAGTATGTTGGCCATCGCGTACTCTGTGAAGCTCGTGTGTCTGACAGGTCTTTGAGCCCTCCAAAGTCGCCTTTGCAAGCGCACAACTTGAAACCAAAGGCCAACGAGCGCGTGTCATGTGTAAGTGTGGCCAGAGCTGTTTTCCAGCGACCATCGCACAAGATCATTTAGCAACGCAGAACAAGAGCTGGGCTTGTGCAAAGGTGTTCCTTGTGCCAACATGGTGCAGCATGTGCAAAGGTGTATTGGCAAGGGCCTTAGGGATTGGGAGAAAGAGAGGTGAAAGGGGGAAGGCGCTAGCCGCTAGCTAGCGATGAGAAAGCAAGGAGCTATGAATGAGATCAGCTGCGTCGTCCTACAATCATAATTCAGGATATGGCCGGAGGATGTGTGGAAACTGTTCTAAACTTGTGTGAGGCGTAGACAGAAAGATAGAGCCACTGGATCTTGTTTTGATTAATCTTGAACTCTCAACAATGGAGATGCCAAGTGCAAAATGACGTGGACTGTGATCGTTTTCGTTCAACACGCTGCAATCGATTATATATTTCCAATGATGCAGATTCTACATCCGCCAGCAAAAGAAGCATAGTGTGATGCCACACGATATGTAGTTATTGAGCTTGTCAACTAGAGCAGTACTTTGCATATCATTTTTGTAATACCCTACCCAATTTCAAGGCTTCAAGATTTGTGCAACATCTCCTTCGGACATTTCAAAGGGAAACAGTAGCAGAGGGGATCTTAAATCAATCCGCGCAGACTTTCAGATTGCAGATTAATATACAGTATGAGGATGTGATATAGATTTGCATGGGCTGCAAGGTTGGCAGCGGCTTCCAGTGTACGGGGCCCTGCAAGATGAGGCCCGTCATGGGCTGAAAACAGATGAGACCAGCAGACCTAGCGCCATCGTGGCGGTCCAGACCGTGAAGCAGCACAAAACTTCTCCATATTGGATCAACACGCACCATCTTGCAAAGACTTGGAAGAAAAACCCTGAGAGAATCAGTGATTTTGGTGGCAGATCTTTGTCATCAACCTCTGGTCTGGGAACATTATTGAAGATTAATGCATTTGAATCCATTGTTTGCTGTTCGTTGCAATGCCAACAAGTGAAAGGAACAGGAGTGCAAAATGAACCTTGAGGTCTGAAGCGTTTCGGGGATTTGGTTCATGGCACGGCATAAGCTGGTTTCTTCCTTTTTCCCCACATCTTAGTGTGGGGTTCTTCTTTTCTATGTCTCATCCCGCTTCCCGCCGCCTCCTCCCTCCACACCGAGACAACACATACAGAGACCACACACACCGAGGCAACACACACACACAGAGATCACACACACACAGAGACCACACACACCGAGACAACACACACACACACAGACAACACACACAGAGACAACACACACAGAGACAACACATACCGAGACAACACATACAGAGACAACACACACCGAGACAACACACACAGAGACAACACACACCGAGACAACACATGCAGAGACAACACACACCGAGACAACACACTTGAGATATTGTGTACTGAACTGAATGCGGTGCCACACGCCGGCCTAGGGTTCCATTTCCTAAGAGTACCAGTAAGGACCCTCGGAGCCTGGGGGTCTGGAAGAGGAAGTGAGGCCAAAAGCGTAAGGTCGAAGGCGACGAACAGGTCGAAATGACGACGATCGCTCAAGTCTGCAGCAAGTGAGGTTCTAGGCTTAGCCTCTCGCCATTCGAAAGTGGAAAATTGCAGGTACACAAGAAGGCGTCCCTTCTCGCTTCACAATCTCAAACCACCGTCTTCGTTGGGCAGTGGATGGAATGAGATTCACTGCCCCCC